CCCCCACACACACACCTAATCTCTCTCACTCTCTCTCTCTCACACACACACACTCACAATTTTAGTCGATGTGGGCGTAAAAACTGTTTTAAGAGAGAGAGAGAGAGAGAGAGGGAGAGAGAGAGAGAGAGAGAGAGAGAGAGAGAGAGAGAGAGTGTATTCGGCGATTCACCATTGAAAAGTCTCAGTGTATATTAGTTTTACCGTATCAACCTCTATTTATAGATGGAGAAGTAACAAATATCACGAATGATGACAGATACAACTTGCATTCCATGCTTTGCTCTGGACCAACACGCATCGGTCAAGGGACACATCCTCCTATTTTGTCCTGCTTGAGTAAAGAGAAGCACATAAACACAACAGTGTCCATTTAGTGCTGAGAAAAGGTAAGATAGACAAACAAAAACAAGAGGAGTAAAAAATTAAAAGTAGGACCTACCAGTGGCGCCTCCAACCACCCGCACTTCCCCCTACTCACTGCTCCAATAACCAAAGAATGCCAAAGATAGAGAATCAGTATGTACATGTAGGAGTAGGCTACATCAGTACAATATTTTGCATTTGCATTGCACCCCTTTGTTCATAGAAGTCGGTCCCTTGATCGTCCTTTAGTTTGAATAGAGTTTTACAGCACTTGCAACACAATAAGGTCATAAAAGTGCCGAACATTAGAGGTGTTACAAGAAACAAACAAAAAAGGAAAAGAGATCAGGACGATAGATGTTTGAAAGGAAAGAAGAAGCAAACCACACCAGAGCACCCGCCAACCACCCACTCGATCGTCCAAAATTACTGTTCCGCAGCAGAAGTGCAAATTATTATATCACTCAAGTTTCAAGCACTTCGCCATCACATGCATGAGATCCAAGTCCGATTCCCGTTTGGAGAAATGGGGAGATTTTCATCGAGTATCTTGGTCTTTTTGTTGGGAGGTTGTATCTCTCTCAATTCGGGTTGGCACTGACAGGCAGGGTCAACTCAAAGCCTGCCTTCTAAATTTTAATGATTTGAATTGTGTGGATACGCTATACGGGTGTTAAAAAAACCCCAAACAAACAAACCCTACTTTTACGCCTCCCCCTTATAAAAAAAATGAATGTCCAACCTACAGTAGCTTTTTAGACATCAACACGGATTTCCATAAAT